CATTATTGGCGGCTATCGTTATGAAATCATACACATCGACGGCATCCACAACCTTTGGGCGGATATGATGAGCAATTGGGGTCAGCCGACACCAAGTCTGGCGACCAAGCGGGTCAAAATACGTCGGGGCCATGGCTGGTCAAAGAAAGTCAAAACACGCAAAGTTCCCCCACCGGAACAACCAAAACTGCGACCGCTGGACAAGGACTTTGGGTGGCCATGTGTGGTGGACATCCGTCACGTCCAAGACCAGCATGGCAACGACAAACCGAAGCGAGCTACCGTGGTGGACGGACTATGGCAAGTGGACGAGCGGCTATGGATACCGGGTGCGGCGAATGGCCTGATCCAACGGATCATGGTCGTTGCCCACTGCGGTAGCACCGGGCACCGTGGACATGCAGCGCTGGTGGCTACTATCCGCCGCCTGTTCTATGTCGACCACTTGGCTGACAGGGCCAGTGACTTCCTCCGTGGCTTCTTGTTGTGCCCTCATGTAAAAGGGGGAAGGGTGGTCCATCGACCATATGCTCCGAGATGGCACGCGAAAGAACGCAACGAAGGAATCCACTTCGACTACCACTACATGGGCGAAGCGTTCAGCGGGAGCTAAGTACGTGCTGGTACTCGAAGACGATCTTACCCACTACTACGAGCTCATTGCTGCGACGGACCCACCAGCCAAGTATGTGTGGATGCCCTGGTGGACTGGACGAAGCGGTTCGGAATGCCACGAGTCTGGGTCAGCGACCAAGGAACCCATTTCGAAAACGTGGCCATGAAGGCGCTAGCCCACAAGTTCAAGGTCCATCATGACCTAACCTTGACCTACTGCCCCTGGCGCAATGGAACGGTGGAGCGAATGAACCGCGACATCCTTCAAGTGATGCGGGTCATGCTGCGAGAGTACCAACTAGCCCAACAGGAATGGGACTACCTATTGGCAGTGGTCCAAGCCAACCTCAACCAAACACCGGTAGCATCACTGGCGAGCAAGTCGCCGATGTAGCTGTTCACGGCTTTGAACCCGGCGACTCCCCTGGATGTCGTTGTGGTGGGCATGAACAAGGAACTCCGAGAGAACGACTGGACGGTTAAGGAGATCCCCAAAAACCTGGACAAGCTGCGTGCTAGCCTGCAAGTCATGCACAAAGAAGTCCTAGACAAGAATGCGATGCGCGCGGCGAAAGCGACCGAGAAATACGAACAGTGCAACGTCAGCGAAGCAACTATGTGCTCTGGTCCCGTGTCGACGAACGCTATCACCCCAAGCTGCTCGTAACCTGGACGGGCCCCTACCGAGTCAAGGAAGTGGGCGAATTCTCCGTCGTTTTGGAGCACTTGGTGACCCATGAACTACGGAAGGCGCACGCATCAAGAGTCAAGCTCTACGCCGAAGACAGCTTTAAAGTGACCGAAGAGATCCTTGAACACGTTTCCGAGCAAGGGATCATGCTGAAGGTCAAGTCCATCGCGGGACACAAGTTTGTCCCGGATGTGAAAGACTTCATGCTGGAAGTGCTTTGGGAAGGTTTTGAGGATATCGAGTCGTCATGGGAACCCCTGCAGATGCTCATGCATGAATGCCCAGCCGTGGTGAAGAACTACGTGGAAGGCGTGAAGACAGCGAGCGAAGGCGATGAAGCGAGCGAAAGCGAAGAATTAGCGAGGCCCAAGTGTGTCCTGCGGGACATGGCTTGGCTGGGGTGTTGTGGTGGGCGACTTAATCTAAGTCCCGCCATGACACAGGTGGTCCTCAACCAGGGCCACGGGGTGCCGACTCTTGGCGAACCGACACGAAAAGGCATAGTATTACTAGTAGTAGTACTAGGACGTAGAAAACAGAACACCTGTCCCAGCCAGCTGCCAGAATCTCACTCTTGGTTCTGCAACGCCGTGGTAACATCAAGTCAATCAAGTGTGCGGTTTGCAGGGAGTCGGCACTCCCCCATTTGGTTGTTTGTGTTGGCACTGGCGTGGGAAACAACACAGTACACACAGTACGTCGATTGATTCGAAAAAACCATGATACTTTACTTGGTCGTTGTATTGAAAT